ATTGTAGCAACAACAAATATAACTTAAATGGAATGAATTAAAACCAGTCTGCGGGGCTGTGAAATAGGAGCCTAATTTAATTACCAGGAGCAGCAAACAGACAGCAGCCTTTCAGGACAAACTGGTAGCACATCAGCCCATTCAAAGAAGAGAGGGTCCTTCTGCCCTAGCATGGGGTGTGTGTATTTATTCATTTATACACACACAGTATATCCTATTGTATTGTATCGTGTGACATGTACACCCCCCCACACACATATATGGGGGGTGTATCTCTCTACATGTTGTGTGTGTGTGTATGTCTGAATGGTGTGTGTGTATACACATCTACATGGTGTGAATGTATGTGTGTATTTATATCTCTACAGTGTCTCTCTCTCTCTCTACAGGGTGTGTATATACGGTGTGTGTGTGTGTGTACATCTCTACACAGTGCGTATATGTGTGTGCAGCTCTCCCTATGTGGTGTGGATGTGTGTGTATATATACGGGTGTGTGTATACCTCTACATGGTGCATGTGTGCTTGTGTGTACACACACACATACACAGTGTGTGCGTATATCTCTTCCTCTCTCTACATGGTGTGTACGTGTGTGTATATATGGGTGTGTGTATACCTCTACATGGTGCATGTGTATACACACACACACTGTGTGTATACATCTCTTCCTCTCTCTACATGGTGTGCATGTGTGTATATATGGGTGTGTGTATACCTCTCCATGGTGCATATGTGTGTGTATACACACACACACACACACACAGTGTGTGTATACACCTCTTCCTCTCTCTACATGGTGTGCATGTGTGTATATATGGGTGTGTGTATACCCCTACATGGTGCATGTGTGCGTGTATACACACACATATACACAGTGTGTGTGTGTATCTCTTCCTCTCTCTACATGGTGTGTAGGTGTGTGTATACACGGTGCGGGTGTATATACCTCTACACGGTGCGTACGTGCGTGCGTCTATACCGATGCACACACAGCGTGTGTGTACTGTGTCTCTCTCTCTCTACAAGGGAGAGACACGTGCGTGTATATTTCTCTACATGGTGCGGACACGTGTGCGTGTCCTTCTCTCTACACTGGGTGCGCACACACGTGGTGTGTGCGCGTGCAGGTACACACGCGCAGCACGCCCACCCCCATAAGCGCGTCCCGCGCACCTCACTGCCCTTCCTGTGGCGGCGGCGGCGGC